ACAGGCAGAAAACAGCTCCCATTAAACTTGCAGCTTAGTTATGGCAATAATGTCTTAAGTGTTGGGTGTTTGAAACCAACACAATTCAGCATTTTCTGGGGGGAATTTATACATCTTGAGTGTCATCTGTGATTTGAAAACTCATACAAACACATACTAATAGGCTTCTGAACTGAATAAAGCGCAGTGCATGTAAACACATGTCATGATTAGATTATTTGATTTTGCACCTAAAAGACTTTTTGGCTTGAGTTGTTTACTGTAAATCAGATTTTTTATCCAGTTAAATTCAAGACATAAAAGTTTCATGTTCCCAGATACTTTTTTTCCCAAATTTAATTTACTTCCATTTTACAATGAAGAACGGACACACATTTCTCTCTCTACACATGAAAAGCAGGTAAACACACACAGCTAAATTCAGCAAACTTAAGCCAGGCATACACTGTACCATTATTAGCTCTTTTTGGGTCGATTCTCCAGTTGTGTGCTTCGTGTTGTGTACAGGGGATAACGAGGGGGATAAGTCTCTCACGACCCCCTCCCGATCAGGAATTGTGAGGTGGGGAGAAAATCAAACATTTTTTAAAGTCAGTCGGCTGTCTTAAGGTCGCATCAGAGCGTCAAGCCACGCAAAATGCATCCTAAGCTGTGAACTTTTAAACCCTGCTGTTTCATTGTACAGTTTGAGCTGTAGCTGAGTACAATGATTGAAAATATTGCACAGTGTATGCCCGACTTAAGGTGATACAAAAAAAAATACATGCCACACTTTTCAGATTTGATCTTGTACAGAAAAACTTAATCATTTAATTTTCACTTTAACAATTATAAACTATTTTTGCTTAGATCTATTACATTCAATCCAATGAAAGGTCAAGTTTGTGGTTGTAACATCATAAAATGTTTTGGTGTGATTACTTTTACATCCATAAAGAAGAAAGAAATGAAATTAGAGCCCTCACCTAACAGTCTAATTTAGACGTCAGATACTCTCTGGATTTCATGCCTGGTTGCTTGAGGTGTTTGTATAATGAAATCAGTTCTGATCTCCCCTCTGCTTCCTCTCTGTCGCTCTGATGCTCATCTCTCATCCCACTCCCAAAGAGACGACTCGTAACTCGGCTCTCTCTTCAGTAATCTTTTATTTCGGTCTGTCACATTTGTACCTGAAAAGACACAAATCACTTGGACAGTTCTAAGTATGTTCCTGAAAAGCATAAGTTGGGGATTTCATTTCCCCCGTATTTCCTTCATGGTTGGACTGCTTGAATGATTTCTTTTTTATTTTATTTTTTGGTGCTGGTTTGTGTCGATGCATGAATCTTTTTCTTTATGTTGAGTAATTAGCCTGCAGAAGTCCTTTGAATGTTTTTTCTGCATTGCTTTTTCTCCTTTGTCCATGTCTTGGTATGACCCCCTACCAACACGTTTCTCTGCCCTCCTGGTGTCTCTGTTGGTCCTTCAGTTTGTTTGATCCCTGCCCTGCTCTCCTCTCTGCGTTACGGCTGGTTGAGCTGCAGATCAGATGAGATTGGAGGGAGGGGATTCCTCACTGCTGCATTTCTTCCCTCATGACAGAGAAATTCAATCTTTTTCTCACTCTGTCATTTTTTTCTACTTCTTTTCCCCCACAGGCCTTTTTTCTCCATCTATTTTCATTCTAACCGCAGCTTCAGTCCTTTTCATGCATGTATTGCCAACCCTCTCCTTCTATCATCACCTCTGCTGTAATAGTTAGAGTCCAATAGATGATCCATCGGGGCTGGTATAGCAAAGAGGAAGGAGTGTCAGAAGCTGTTAAATATCTTATCAGAAAGCACGTAATTCAGCTTGATATCTTATCCGCAGTGTAACTGTAGATCTGCGGTCTCAGAGACAGGGCTCTCTGCGCCTCTATGTGATCAATAATGAATAGATCCCAGTACACTTTTAGCATTGGGTGTGCATATTATTTATGAAAGGGCGCTTCTGAAACATAGAAAGAAAAAAAACATTGTTTTAAGGATTTTTAGTGTTAGATACGTGATTTTTTTTTTGTGTGTGAGTAAAAAATACAAAAGAAAAATTGAAATATTTATGTTTCTTTCCATCTTTCTATTGTAAATGTTTTAGACAGGATGTAACAGATCGAAGTATCTACTAACATGTGGCAAAAGGTGCTCTGCTGCACATTACTGTGAACTTATTTAACTGACCATGACACATGGTGGTGGCAGCATCATGCCGTGGGGAAAAAAATGGAGGCTGTATTAAGCTGATTGGGAGGTCAGTGAAGATAAATATTGGGCACTTCTGGAAGAAAACATGTTGAGGCAGCAAAAGACCTAAACTGGAGTTAAAACATTGAAAGCAAATGTGTTTTAAAATGGCCTAGTCAAAGATCAGACCTGAATCCAATGGGGAATCTCTGGGACTATCTGCAGAAAAATATGGAGCAGATGTAAATATTTCTGTTTGGGACTTTTGGGTCTGCTTTCAAGGTTTGACTGAAAATCAGTCCTCAAATGACTGAGAAGAAAGATAATACTACATTTTTGTGCTTAAATATTGTAACTTATAAAACCAAAAGAATAAGATGTACAGAGAATTTAGCAGCTTTGATTTGGAGTGAAAGTTTTTATTTGTACTTTTTTTTTTTGATACCACACTTTAAGATTTTTGCTCCCAAGAAAAAATGCCTTAAATCCAGGCTGTGAAGACTTTGCCTAAATAAACATGTTGGTGTCTCTACTAACACGTCCAACAGCAGGTTTCAGTTAGTTCCCAGGCTGATGCAGACAGAATCGATGGTTCCATTATCATTGGGCTCCTATTGATCGGTTTGGAGCCACTAATAGCCCGTTTGCCCCCTGACACCCTGGTTTCAGAGTGGGTTCGTTTCAATGGGTGCAGATCAGAACACCACAGTGCTAGATGGACAATTAAGTGGTTGGAAAGCGACCTTAAGTACGACAAATGGATGAGGTGGTGAAGGAGAAAGAGAAGATGGAGAATTAGGCTAATAGATCCTGTGTGGGTTTAGGAACGCCGTTTATCTCAATACGATGGAAAATACAAAAATAAAGAAAAAGCACAGCTTGTTTTGGTGAAGCAGTTTTGTTTTTCTTAACTTTATATCTTTATTTACATTTTAATTCTAACAGCTGCTGGCCTTCCTTTTCATGTACCCTCCCATCCCGATCTCCATGCTTTCCTTTGTTGTTGCTGATCTGCTCCAGAGAGCAAGAGTGACGGCAAGGGAGAGACGGAGAGTAGCTTGTTTCCATGGAAACGGGCTGAGCCTGATAAGCTTGGGTTCTTGTATTGCTGAGTCTTCTCTGCGTGTGTCTGCATGATAAAGGTCTGGTTTTCGCTGGTTAAGAGGAGGGATGATGATTGATGAGGGTCTGATTCACTGGGCAGTGCAGATGCTCAGATGAGCTGATGATGCGTGGTTTAGAGTCTCTTTAGTTCTTACCTCCGTGCTGCAGGTCAACGCTCTTATCAGAGCTCCAGCAGTCATCAGGATCACCATGGGCATCACCATAGCAATGACATCTTATCCAGGACTTATCTGAGAATAGCAAAGCTTTTGTTTCTCTGGGTGATTTGCTTTCTTGTTAAAAGCAGAGACGTTTTGAATTGGATAAAAGCAAAGGGGGCATTTCTTCTTTGGAGATCACTTAGTCGAGCGTTCCAGCTTTTCAGCGCTAAATGCTCTATGTTACTCAAACGGCCATCTTCCGTTGAAACAAATTACTGTATAGAGATCAGAACATGTGACTTCAGACAACCTTAACCTCTGCTGTTACAGGGAGATCCAAAGCTGGACATAAATGAACAGCAAACATGCTCACCAATACTTTGTGTGTCTCTGATTTAATGAGGTAGAAACTGATAGGAGGGGAAAATAAATAGTTAATCACTGCAGATACCATCACTTTTTCAATATGACGTTGGAGATCCAGCTTTCATCATTTCTTTGGCCTCTTTTAAAATAGAATTCAAACCTTTTGGGCACCATAAATATCTCTATTTTTTAGCAAGCAAGATTTTTAAGTTGCTAATGAAGTTGCATGAACTCTTGTATGATATATGAATCGCTCACTTTCATCACTCTTTCTTCTCTTTTAAACTCTTTACCTTCATAATTTAACCCTTATTAAATGTTCAGCTTCAGTCTAATATGTCTGTCACTGAGCACCATTCTCAAAATGTCTAATTGGTCCTCTAGAGGGGCCTGATTCAGCCTGAAATAAAGTTTGCAGTTTTTTTTTCCTTTAAAATCAAATAACTAGAAAAATAAAAAATAAAAAAAATCAAATCAAATAACTAAGTTGTGAACTCGTTGAGAGAAAAGGTGTAGGTGGGAAACTTATCCAGACATAGAGATAAATATTGTTTGACTTTGGAGGCTGCAGTTTGCTTATGAAAATAGATAAACTGAATTAGATAAACAAGCAAAGAGATATTTATGTTGAAACATTAGCATTAGTCTGTAATGAAAAAGCCTGAATGCTTTAGTCGCTCTCAGTACTTTATTTTTCTTTCAGACAGATCTGTTACTTGTGAATCGAAGAGATGCAACATGTTGCTAATGAGAATGTCTTTCTGTCTCTGCTGCAGAACTCCCAGAAGAAAAGAGCAGTACGAACCAGCAACAAACTGGACAAGAAGCCTGCTCCCCAGGTAAGCCATTACCAGGATATCAACATACACACACGGGCGGGGTCCTTTTGACGGGTTTGACCAATCGATAGGAGAATCAAACCGCTGTCCCGGCAGCCAAAGAGGCTTAAACCCAGAGAGCGGTGGACATTGATCCACCATGAAGCCAGAGAAAAGTGAGAAAGAAGTAAATCAGTTTCCACAAAGGAATCACCAAGGCTTCATTATCCTCCATTCTGATCACCAGACAGAGGTTTCTGGTGAACACTGACCGTCACTACAACTGATCTGTTAGAACAAGGCAAACTTTAAAAAGATAGATTTTAGTTCAGATAAAATCAAACATGACCCACAGTTTGTTGTTTAAACTGCTCCTAATGCGTCTGATTTATCTCCCTATTGACACATAGGGTTCTTCAGCCTGAATGCTTTGACTTTAAAGCTGTTCAGTAGAGTAAAAGTCATTGATTATTCACATTTTTAAATATTTATCTGTTAATTTGATGATTTTAACAAAAGAAAGAAAAATCTCAAAGACAAATGATCTATAAATCTGTATTTATTTTGGATTATAGGTCATACATTAGGGGTTTGCAATGAAGTAAATATATCTCGCAGAAGAATTAAAAAGATATATTCAACGGGTTAATCCTTTTTAAAAATATATCTATTTTCTAATTTCCAATTTTAGCAGATTACAATTTCTCTTTTAGACATTAGACTGTTTCTCTTTTATTTGTAAAATATTTTAATTATATCTGTTTTCTCCTTTTGGAAAAAAATGAAAAAGTGTTAACGTTAAATAGTTATGATTTCAAAGTGCTAAAATGAGTACGATGCCTATCTGTGAGTCACTAAATACAAACAAACTAAAACGGACTGCAGCATCTTCTTTCACAGATTAGCATTTACAAGTTGTTATTCACATTTAACACAATGTTAGTGAAAGTGTTTTTCTTTGCTCTAATTAATACCAGATGGGTCCAAATTAAGATCAAATCTAAATTATAAAATCTACTTTTACATAAGCCTAAGAAGCCTTGTGCAATTGATCATTGATTTGGGAGCAATTGATTCCAGTCGGTGTTACACATGTCTGGTAATCTATTTTATAAACTATTAATCCTGACAACAGGAGGGGGAGGTGGGGGGCAGCTTTGCATTTTATACAAGAGATGACCACTGTTAGAATATTTTTAAATATATAAACCTTTCCTTAACTATGGGATTTCCAAAATATTGATATTCGTTTCACATCTGGTTTTAACCGAATTAGACTCTTAAAATTAATGAAATGAAAATGCGCTTTTGGTGTAGCTGTAGGTTAGGCTGAAGGCTAAACTCTCCATGATTGATGAACAGAAAAGGCTGACGTTGCTCAAGAAAAAATACTGGTGTTTTTTAGAACCTTCTTTCACTCATTATTTATTAGATTTAGTGTTTGCCACCTCTGTGAATGTGAAAGTAGATTACTTTGAGTCATCTTCAGAGCGCAGCCTGTTAGGACCAAGGCATCACTGGCTGCAGAAACATTTGATCTGTCATCAGTTAATTTACCTCAATCACTCACAAACACGGATAGTGATGCATCTTTACTTATAGATTCTTATTTATTTATTCTAATATGATTTAGGACAGTAAAATCTTTTCATATACGCTAAACCCTGAGCAGGTAAACTAAGCAATTCTCAAATGCAAATAAAAAAACAATCACAAACTATTTGGCTCAAAAGAAGCAGGTTCATATAAATGAGCTTACAGACTTGTTTTTGTTTTTTAAGATGCCTCCTTTTTGGATGTTTCCAGCTACACATCCTAACTTTCACACAATCAGAAATCCTGCATGTTTGACCCCTTTTTCTACTGGAAATTAAACACAAATCTATACAGATCGTTTAGCTTCTGTTTGTTTATTTTTCCATCTTGCATTATGATACATATGCAAGTCTCTATGCATATACATTTTTAATTTGTTTTGGTGTCAGGGATAACAATGAATTTTCTTTACACATCTGTTCCATATTCTGCAGATTGCTTCAGGGTTTAGCTATGCTAAACTGATTAAAACAGCACTTATGTATCAGGGTAAAAAAAAACAAGAAACAGAATTCAGGTAAATCTCTACAACAATGTCTCCAATTTGTTGTAAAGACGTGGCTTGGCTCCCTCTTCCAGACCACATACCATAAATGGCTGTAAATTCAGCTCCCCTCACTCCGTCTAATGTGGTTGGAGTCGCTCCACAGGCAGTAAAACAAACACAGCCGCAGAGCTGCTTCTGGGGAATGTGAACACACGGTCACCTGAGGTCAGCTGTAAGAAGGGTGGAGAGTTTAGAATGAGAAAAAAATTTATTTATGACTAAAATTGTATTATTATTTTTGGGGTATTATGGTAACCGCACACTTATGTATGATAAAGAATAATAAAACAGGCTAAAAATGCTGATTGGTTTTTACCTTATTTCACAAATCCCCTAAAAAAAAAGATAAAAAAACACATTAGAATATTCTTGCGTGTTAAAAAAAAATTGGTTTAATTGTTTGGTTGTTTTTACTAGTTGGAAAATGTAACAACAAATAATTTCCATTGAAGTTAAATCTGTGTGCCAGAACACAGATGTTTTCTCCCCATCAACATGGACTTTAAAGGGGCCTAATCACACACTGGGACCTTATGAATTTCTGCTGTGGCTCACTCTGGTTCCATACAAGGTGTCCCTGATTAAATTAAAGCCGGGCATATGCTGTACCATACTTTCAATCATTGTACTCAGCTACAGCTCAAACTGTGCAAAGGAACAACAGGGTTTTAAAGTTCACAGCTCACAATTTATGTTCTTACACTGCACATCTGAAAACCACACGTTGAACTCAGCGTGGAGAGATGGAGTTGATCGGACCTGTCAATCTGGAAGAAGAATAAGAAAAAGAAGAACTCCCTTGTTTGAACATGCGCGGTGAGAGAGGTTCCGATAATTTGGCTTGTAAATGCTCGTAGCTCTGCTTCAACAGCAGGATTTGTCCACAAACATCTCACGATGGCCGACTGAATTTCAAACATGTTTGATTATCTACCGACCTTACGATTCCTGATGGGAGGTGGTAGTGAGAGGCTGATCACCCCTCATTACCCCCCGTGTACAACACGACGCAGACTGAACTCAGCCCAATCCAAATAATTCTCACACGAGTAGAGAATTGGCCGGAAAACGGCAAAATATTGCACGTTGTATCCCTGGCTTAAAGGAATAGTACACCCAAAACATGATTAGCCTTCATTTTCTACTCACCCCCATGCTGAACAACACTCTGGAGTACTTTTTTGATATCTCAAATGCATCTGGAGATCTGGGAGGCTTCTTGCTGTCTGCTGACATTCAAATAATGGAGGTCTATGGCGCCCGAGGCAGAAAGGTCCATAAACGTCCACAAAAAACGTGTCAATATTCCTCCATTCACGAGTCTACGGAAACCGCGGCAGACCAAACCAGATGAAAGTGCGCATTCAGCGTCTGCTCTGCTGATAATGCAAGTGTAGAAGAAGAAATGTGCTGTTTACCAGTGCAAAGAAAGAAACAACGAAAGAAAAATGTCTGAGGACTTCAGTGTTGAGGAAGAGCATGAGTTCTTTGCCGAGCTGAATGCGCACTTTCGTCTGGTTTGGTCTGCCAGCTTCCGTAGCGTTGTGAACTCGCAGGCACGCGCTTTTAGGAAATCCTATACACTACTGTTTATGCTCTAAAAACATTCTAAATGACTTCGTTTCGAGTAAATTATGGACGCTACCCACTCAGGACACTTGGAATACATTGGACGAGCAGTATGGAGGAATATTGACACGTTTTTTGTGGACTTTTATGGACCTTTCTGTCTCGGGCACCATAGACCTCCATTATTTGAATGTCAGCAGACAGCAAGAAGCCTCCCAGATCTCCAGATGCATTTGAGATATCAAAAAAGTACTCCAGAGTGTTGTTCAGCATGGGGGTGAGTAGAAAATGAAGGCTAATCATGTTTTGGGTGTACTATTCCTTTAAGAAAGAAGAACGTTTCAAAGATCAACTGAAACAACGTTTATGAGGTCATTGCAAAACCTCTTCTCAGGTGCAAAAATGACTAAGTAAACACTATGAAGACCAATGATTGGCGCATACTGCTTTGGTCTGAAATCAAACTATTGCCTGTTCTTTACAATCATAATAAACTTTTAAAATTGGACTTACTGAATCTTAACAAATGTTTTAAACTATTAGAGTAAACTTTAACAATGTTAAAGTGTAATTGATGTCATCCCCAGATCCAAGTTTCTACCTCAGATGTAAATTAAACAATAAAAACACATTCTGAGCACAACTAAGGCACCGACACTGGTTATTGTGTCACAGTTTGAGAAACAATGCTGTAGATCATTGCTTGTCAAAGCTAGTATAAAACATTGCACAAGCATGTGTGTGTCTCCATGAACCTTCCTGCGTCAGCATGTTTATGATTCCTTAGAAAATTATTTTAAAAATAAAAGAAAGGCTTTCCAAAATTGTTTCATTAAACAACTCTTTTCTCTTGGTTTCACACGTAAACTCCCTTTTATTAATACATTAAGATGTAAGTATTCTTTTATCAATTGAGTTTGAACATGTTTGCATAGGGTCTGTGGAAAATATACCGGTCATTTATCCTTTTTTTATTTTACATCCATTAATGCTTATTATCAGGAAATGCAAAGTTTTGCCTCTACTTTTTTCTAAGCACTTTGTTGTTCTTCCAGTCAGGAAGGTAGGAAATATCCTGAGCAGATGATAAATGACGTCTGCTGGAAACCACTAATGAATATGTTTGCTGATGTTTCTCTGCTCTCTAAGAGCTTTTTATTCCTTTAAATCAGCCAAGATACAACCACAGCATGACTCTGACCTCAGCATTTAGTGGTTTCACTCCACATGTTTGTCAAAAGGAGGCTTTGGATATATCTTATTTGAAGTTCGCATAGTTTCTCTGATGTCTTGCCCATCATGATGTGAAAACACAGGCGCAGTTTTAAAAGCACCGATGATTCGGCTGTCATGTTCTACACCTCAGGACTTTATTTTGTCAGTTTTAAATTTTGAAGACATGAATTGGAGCAGCCCTGCTTGAAGTGATCTGATTGGTCAGCTTGTTTTTTCTCTTTGCTATGCATGGTCGGGTGTTTGCTCAGCTTTCACTGACTTGTGTATATCTGTGCTGTCAGGTTCTCTGTTCCTCCCCGTCTAACCTCTAAAAACTGAGCGCCTTTCTCACTTTAAGTTGCTCATGTCTTTACAGAAGAGGGGGTTTCTCAACTTTGATGACATTTCACGGGCTTTTAAAAGATTAAAAACAATTAACATAGGTGTGTAATGACTTATTTTGAGTTTATTTATGTTCATGATTCATTACACGTACAACTAGAACAAACAAAAAAACAATCTGAGTAGTAAGTCGCTCTTTGCAATCTCTAGGGAACATAGCTTCTCCGTGCCTTAATCCACTCAGTCCTTTTCTTTCCCTCTCGCTCCAGGAGGACAATTCAGACCTGAAGTGTCAGCTCCACTTTGCCAAAGAGGAGTCAGCCCTGATGTGCAAAAAGCTGACCAAGTTGGTGAAGGACAGCGAGGCCATGAAGGAGGAGCTGGCCAAGTACAGATCGCTATATGGAGACATCAACACCTCACTCACTGTGGAGGAGGTAAGAGGATTGGCACGACCATTTAAAGGTTGCTAGATATAGCCTCCAACACAGAGAGCGACCATATGAGATAAACATTTAGCATTTGGGATTGTAAATTCCTAATCCAGAGGAAATAATCAAGTGGCTCATTTAGGGATTTGACTTTTGGTGGAGATACATGGAAAAAAAAAACTTACAAGGAAACCTGCATTGCTTAAAAAAACACGAAAACTCTATAAAGTTAAAATCAAACTTCTTTCATCAAATAGATTTTTCTTACCATTTCATTACAATTGTGAAGATTGTCAGTAGTCCAGGTCATGGTCAAGCTTGAATAGTTCAGTTTATGCAACTGGACGTGTTTTCTAGAAGACGTTTCACCTGTCGTTCATAACAATTTTATTTGCTTTTAGCAGTGTGAGTGGATAAACATTTAACTTTCTTTAAAAACTTTAAAGACATCCATGCAGGCAACAGGTTTGGATACTTATTTTTTTGCCGTCTTAAAAAGGTTTTAACAGGACAAAGTCGAGCTGAAAGATTTAGAGATGAAATGTGTCACGATGCTGAAGGCAGCTGTTTATCGTGTTTGACTTCTCTCAGGTTGCTGACTCTCCGCACACTCGAGAAGCTGAGGTCAGAGTTCATCTAAAGCTAGTGGAGGAGGAGGCCAACCTGCTGAGTCGACGCATCGTGGAGCTGGAGGTCGAGAACAGGGGCCTCCGAGCAGAGATGGACGAAATGAAGGGCAGTCAAGGTAGCTAGTCTTCCAGCTCTTTACTGTTTACCAGGGATGATAGTTCACATGTTGGCAGGATATTTGGTAGAAGGGATCTACAGATTAGAGATAAATTAACACACCAGCCAGCCCATATTTTTGGTTAATATTATCTTGTTCCAGCATCACCCCGGCCATGCGTTCAATAGTGCATTCCATTGTTAATATTTGTTTCATTTGTCAAGAAATTTTTCCTTTTTGTTTAAACTGCGATTATGTAAGTTATCTTTTTTTTCAGTTTTTATTATGTAAATGGAGGATGAAAAACAGTCATGGCTTTAGCCAGTATTGCTTTGGCTTTATCTAGGCATTAGCTTTAAGATTTTACAGAATCAAATAATTTGTTGAACATCCGCCCTAAGCCCTAAATCTCTCAATCACTATATAGAGCGGGGACTATATAGTAGACTTTGTGTTCTTTGTCATAGGCGACAGTAAGCGGCTGTGACAATAAATCCCATGATGCTTTGCAAGGAGAGCTCTCCTTGGAAAGCATTCCGGGATATATCTGTTCATCTAGTGACCAAGGATGATTGTATTGGCTTAGCTAGATTACTGTAGCTTAGCTTTAGCCTAACCTAATTTACCTCAACTTACCCTACTCACCCTAAATTAGTGTCATTCAGTTTAGTTTAGCTAACTTACCGTAGCTTAGTTTTAGCCTACCCTAATTTACCTCAACTTACCCTACTCACCCTAACTTAGTTTCATTCAGTTTAGTTTAGCTAACTTACCGTAGCTTAGTTTTAGCCTACCCTAATTTACCTCAACTTACCCTACTCACCCTAACTTAGTTTCATTTAACCTAACTTAGTTTCATTTGGCTAGCTTAGCTTTAGCCTACCCTAACTTACCTCAACTTACCCTACTCACCCTAACTTAGTTTCATTTAGTTTACTTTGGCTAAGTGTACTCCAGCTACTAAGAAGTCAGAGTAACATATTTTCTGAGCTGATAGCGTTCCAGTTTGCCTGATTTGGACTCTTGTATTCTCCATCATTGACCACGTTAGCCCCAGTTGCAACCGTGGTATTTCACTTTTTTTTTCACTTTATTTTCTAAACATATGACTCTGTGTCTTTATTCCTAGACGGCCCTCAAGAGCTTTCTGGTGTTGGTGGTGGTCAGGGGGGAGGGCTTGGCCTAACAGGAGGGGCCGTGGTGCTTGGTGGAGGCGCCTCATCTGAAAACGTTATGGAGCTCCAGAGGCACCTCCAGTTTGTGGAGGAGGAAGCTGAGCTGCTGAGACGATCTCTGATTGAGATGGAGGAACAGAACAAACTCCTGATGAATGAGATAAATCGTTATAAATCTGAGCTCCCACCTGCAACCTCCACCCTATCCTCCGAGTCACTGATGTCTCTGACCGACGGTCTGCTGAATGACTCGGTGCAGGACGGGGCTGTGCTCATCAGCACCGACACTCCGACCCCCGAAGAGGAGCTGAAGCTGGCGAGGCTTCAGATCGGAGAGATGAGCGGCAAAATGAAGAAACTGCAGTATGAGAACCGCGTACTGCTGTCCAACCTGCAGCGCTGCGATCTCGCCTCTTATCACGCTCCTTCCTCCTCATCCTCCTCATTAAGACTGGCTTTAGAAACAGATGCAGAAGCAGGAGACTCAGCCGAGTGTCTCCCTCTCAGGTACATGAAGATATTTTTGTTTTTGTTCATCATGCAGGTCATAGTCATTGCACAAAAGTAAAAAAAACAAACCACTAGACTTTGTTACCAAGTTTGAAGAGGTTTCGCATCTCATCCAGGAAGCCTTTTCAATACAATGTCATTTCATTTTGCATTAAAAAAGCTTCCTGGATGGGAAGCAAAATGCTTCAAACTGGGAAACAAAGTCCAGTTGATTGTTTTTTAACTTTTTTGGAATAAAGATTTATTTTTGCAACTCCTCTTTCAGCAATATTGTCCCTTCATTCTACTGTGTCTCTATAAATAGCAGCTCTTAAGACACAATAAAAGGCTTTTTGACATTTTGCCATCAAGACAAAGCTACTGGCAGTGGAATTTAAAGTCCCACATTTTTAGATAACAATTAGTGTTGCACCAATACCGATACCAGTATCGGGCGGGGCCCCGATCCAGCACTAAAATGGTGGTATCGGTATCGGTGGGTACCAACAAAGAGGGCACGGATACCATTTTGAGAGCCATAAGTTTATTCAATTATTGTCACTCATTCCAGGTAGGCAATAAAAAGTTCTACTGGATTCACTTTGTATTAGTCTGTTTCCTGCTTCACAAAGGTAGGCAGCAGCTTGACAAAGCCATGATGGCAATTATTTTACATCCAAGTAGTATGCAGTTATTCATATATATACACACACACATCAATTTCAAACAGATTGTATCGGTATCGTATTGGTATCGGCCGATACTGCACAGCCAGGTATCTGTATCGGGGCCAAAAAAAATGGCTTCGGCGCAACATTAACAATTGAGATTTACATAGCAATGATTAACCAATGTTGTTTTCTACAGACATTTGTCAGTAGAATCATAAGAAATCTTAAAAACAAACAAAACTCCATTAGAAAGCTGGCACTACTTGAGCCATCTAAAGGACAAGGTTCAAATATCTTGTTAAGAAATATTTGTTATGAGAACACCTTTTTCTCTTAACATCTTCTGATCTAGGAACAAAGAGAACAATCCAGCTCACCTCTCTTCTTCCAGGCAGATTTTTTTACTCTTTGTATGTTGAGTTTGAGTCTTGGAACAGAGTTTGCTTGGAAGAAGGTTTATTTGTGTTCTGCTTAATCATTTTTGTTCATTTGGCAATTACCCTGCACAGTTATAGCAGGTATACCCAGGACAGGTCGCCTATCCATCGCAGCCAGTATTAAACCCATAAAACTAATTTCACTGCGGTCAAAAGTCAATGTTTTTGCTTTTTAAAGTCCTCACCATGCCTGGGGGGAAAATCTTCCACATAAAACCCAAATTTTTAGCATCTACAAGTAAAGTTTGGAGCAGATCAGACAGCGGAGTTTCCAACAGTTTCCACCGTTGTCAAAACTCTGCATAGGCAGAGAGCAGCCTATGTAGCCTAAGTTCAGGATGATCCATATAATTATCAATGTGGATAATAAAAACAAGTCAATGCATTCATGCATTTACAATAATAGAACCAATAACTTTATTTTGTTTACTTGTGTTTTTATAGAGCTTTACAATTATTTTTTTTTATGTCACACTGTAAGTTAATAACAGCAGAATAGAGCTGAATCAGCTCCAGCTGTTGGTGGATGCATGGACCGCAATGCATGCAGAGTAAGGGTGCATTGAATCTCAATCATCATCACAAAAAAGTTGCAAACGGCTGCATTGATGCACTTCAAATGTCATTAATTTTACATAAATGTCGATGTTGCACATTGACTGGGAGGCTAAAGCTCAGGGTGAGCAGTGGGGATGTACAGTAGTGATCATAAAAAGGTTGAGTTTGTCTGAAATATTGTTTTCTGTTATTTTGCATTCCTGATGTGTATATAACATGCAGTGGTTGTTGTAGAGGTTTCAGTCTAGAAGATGACACTGTTTGCTTTGGTTTGTTTTGTTTCCCTCTTGCATTAACTCCACCCAGCTGCGGTTCACTCATGGATGCGAAATGCGCAGAGGATCCATTTTGTTTGGACAAAAGCGGGTGACCTTTAAGTTGTCCTAGTTACATTATCCAGCTGAATAAAACCGGCGGAAATGTTCTGTGTGCCGTAGATTGTCGACGATTGAATGAGGTTTTCTGCTCTGGTGCAGAACAAATCAAGTCTAACAAAAAGTGTCCAGATGCACCGTAAATTTGTGTTTACTTATGTGGCCACAGAGAGCCTTGCGTGCAAAGATTTAGGTCAGGGTTTTTAAAAGGATGGTGTTTATAAACAGGTAAAAGCAACATAGCAAGATAAAGAAAATAGATCCTGTCCTCTAAGACAACCAGTATACTGAAACTGAATCGTGGTTTGTTTTTTTCAGCCCACCCCATCGCAAAGAGCCAGTAGGAGGAGAGAACGATGCCATTGAGATGGATGAAGAGAAAAAGAAGATTGAGGACAACGCTGATGCAACGACCTCGCTCTCTGGGTGCCTGGGGCAGAAGGACCGCGATGCCTTGTTGGCCATGAGGGATCAGGCTCGTTTGGTTTCCACTGCTATACAGCTGCTGACCTCCCCCGAGTCCAGCTGCCTGCCCTCCTCCTCTCCTTCCTTGTATCACAAGGTCTGCAGCAATGAGGCAGCAGAGCCGTGTGACCTGGAGAAACCTCAGCCTCACTGTCAGGTACCAGCTCTGTTTGTTTTTCAAGCCTAAACGCGTCAGAGGAAACCGGTAACATGCAGGATGCTTCCGCTGGGACACATATCTATTTATAGGGTGAAACCAGATTTTCCAACGTGTCCTTACGCTTGTGGGTGATACTTATCTCTGCCAGTGTTGAACAACTTTGTGAAGAATGCTGCTTTTTCTTCTCCCCAGATCTCAGAGCTGTCTGATTTGGCAGACCGCCCTCTGGTTGGTGCTCTAACCAGCAGGCTTCAAGCTCTGCACACCCAGCTGCAGGCCTTTGTTGAGCAGGTAGACGGTCTGGCTAAACCTCCCCTAGGGGGAAGGGATGGTCAGGTAGAAGGAGCATCCCCCCCAGCATCACCTTGCACCTCCTTACCCTGCTCTGGAGATAACGAGGAAAACCAACCGGAGGAAAAGGTACAACTTCAGGAAGCACAGTCCTCTCCATCACCTTCCTGTCCTTTCATTTATTTATATTTATATATTTTTAGAGATACACTTTTTTGTTTATTTCTTGTTCTTTTATTATTTAATGCCCAATCATTATTTTGGCCGACAACACTCTCAGTCCTATTCTGCCATGCTATCTTTCTTTTTTTTCCCGCGCAATGCAGAATTCCTTTACGCAGCGTGCTCAAATCTCCAGCAACCTCTTAGCCAACTCAACAACACCATTTAATTGGATTTGCTGTTATTATGCAGGCCAGAAATTTTTGAAGCATTTCAGCTTTTACAGAATCCATTATTTTTGGTCAGATTTGAGCTCCCAGTGTAAAAAAAACAAAATCTCCATGTCTTCTGCATGCTGTTTTTATGCCTCCTAACCTTTAAATCCTGCTTGGGGCCTCAAATGGAGCCAGTTGCCTGGACACATAAATGTTAACCACTTCCACACCTAGTTTACTACAACCGGCACTGAGCAACTGTGTCCATTCATTTTATAATTGGGAGGTATATCTTTAGTTGAGTTGGTGTCATGAGTCTCAGTTGGTTCTCTTCATGTGGTGGTCGTTGTTTCTGTTGTGTCATCTGATGATCTGGATCAATAAACAGAACTTACTTTAAAAATCCAACAGTCAGAACTCAGAACATTGTTTTTTTATGTGCTGCACAAATATATTGAATTTCTGTATGAGGTTTATGCGCCTTCACTATCAGTTTCAGCTTTCCTTTTCAGCTGATTGGGCTATAAATTAATTTAACCTGTAAATTGCAAGACTTGAACGACTGAAGAATTTTTTCGAGTCATACTTCACTGTTGTGAAATCAATTTATAAATTCTAAGAGGTAGTTTTAAAGCTCTCTTCCTAACATCTAATCATAACTAAACACTTTGCCGGGGCTTACCGTGAAAAAAATAGATTCTGAATTTGATCTGCTCCCTGAAACTCTAAATTACAAACTATTTTCTTCTATCAGTCCAAACAAAATCATCATGGAACACATTGGAGGTAAATAGGAATGTCATGGTGAGGTCTGCAGTGAAGAGAGCTTGAGGTGCAGGTTAGCCAGTGACTTCACAGCGTCGCTTTTAGCCTCACTAATTGAAATATTTCACTGCAGCTTTAATTGGCTCCTCTTTATTTTTATAACCCTGTTATTGTTTTAGTGAATTTCAACAGAAAATCTAATAAACTCAACAGAAATTTTAAATTAAAATCAGCTTGATTTTAAATTATTTCATGTCTGGTCATCGTTTTCTTAGACTTGTTTCATTGGTAATGAAATTTAAACCCTATGAGGATTTATATATCTGTGAAAATTCTCAGTCATCAAGGTTATGGTCAAACATTCAGTTTAGGCAACTGGAAGTGAAATTTTCTAGAAGACGTTTCGCCTCTCATCCAAGAGGCTTCTTGAGTTCTAAGTGGTGGTGGGGAGCACTGAGAGTAACATACTGAAGGGATAACAAAATAATTATTGGAAAAAAAAAAAAGGGGCCTTGAACCCCCCTAACGGAATGGCCAAGGAAGGCAACCGGGGGCCGGTAAAGGGCCTTAAGAGCCTCCGAATGGGCCCTAAACCCCCCCACAAAAAGGTGTCACTAATGCCTCATTGAAGTCAGAGTCAAGCGAGGGCAGGTGAAAGGTGAATCTTCTGGGTATTGTCCCTAATATTGCTTCGTAGGTGGGTGAATAGTTATGTCTAAGACCAGCTCCACTGTTGACAGAAGGTTTTTCCAGGTTTACAAAATGGCTTCCTTAACCCCTCTCAAACAATTTTCTTCCTTGGCCAGAATATGGACATTTTTGTCCTGAAACAAGGTTCCCTCAGCCTCCAGTAAAATACTGGAGTCTATGAATAACTCAGGAAGATTTTTAACAAGCACCGGATCCCTGTGCTCTTCAAACCCAGAAACCCCCAGAGAGAAGACTGGTTTCCCAAAGATAAGACACCCAGAAACCAGGAAGACAACGTTTTTTATAATGTTCAGTATAGTGAAGAGTGCACAGACCTGTACATTGTAGAGACCAAGCATCCGCTACACAGGAGGGCTAAAGGGCTAGTTATTCTACAGCAGTGTGGCGCAATGAGCTTGATGCAGACACTTTTGATTTATGCTCAATTTTAAGCGTGGTCTGTGCTATACGCTGTGGGTCTAGATACGGCCGAGGCGATAAGGAAGTGGGGGCGAGTTTGTCCGACAATGGAGGGACATGACGGCAAAAAAAAACGGCAATCCAGGTGGAAAAAGGGTCCCAGCGTTCTCGCACACCTTGCTCTTCTAGTTGGTCAAACTTCACGAGTCGTTTTCCGCAATCGCGGTCAAAAAAACAAAACAAGCCGGCCTCCTGTCTGCGGCACTGTCTGCAGTCACCTACAGTTTGGGAGGGGTGCAGCAGAGTGTCTGCGTAGGGGGTGGGGATGGCTTTTTGTTCACTGCGACACCTACGCAGACGACCTAGTTTCGAAATATAAATCAGCCTTAACCCCTCAGGACAGGACTCAGCTATTCACCTAAAGGACCCTTGTTTGAGGACAACAACGTCCATATTCTGGCCAAAGAAGAATGATTGTTTGAGAGAGGGGTTAAGGAAGCCATCTTTATTAACCTGTAGAGAGCAACACCTAACAGAGGAGCTGGTCTTATACTGTCACCTACTTACAAAGCAATTTTTAGGAACATTATCCAGAGGATTCACCTCTCACCTGTCTTCATCTGAGGCGTGTGACAGGAACCACTCTGACGATTGTTTGTTTACTTCAATGAGTTAACGACCCATCAGAACCCCCTAACGACCTATAACAACCCTCTATGACCTCCTTGGCCAATGCAGTGGGCGGCATCAAAGCCACCTTTTGTTCCCTCTAATTCTTTGTTACACCTACAGTATATTAATCTCAGTCCTCTTTACCACTAGTTAGAAATGAAGGAGGCTCTTGGATGAGTGGCAGACGTCTTCTACAACACTTCAGTTACCTAAACAGAACTTTTTAAACTTCCCTCTGAGGATTCCATTAAACATGTTCTATAAAGTTAGACAGTAGCAACAACTTCTAACGTTTTGTTTCCACTGAGGCCAAGATAGAGCCCTTTAGAACTTAAAGCGCTGCTTTGTCATCAACAGAGTCCTGTTTCTATTCTGCTCTAATCTGATCTGAATTTATTTGCTTGGTTTTGGAAAGTGTGATAAAATAGTGATTCATTTAAGTGCCAATACTCCATTAGAGGCCAGTTCCAACCCCTCCAATCTCTCCTCCTCTGTCCTCCCTCTCTTGTTCCTCCCTCTGTCTGCACGGGCTCCATATCCGATCGATTTCTGCACTTGGCTCCCCCCCCTCCCACCTTTCAAACCCCTTTTTTGTCACTATTCACACACGCTCATTTTCATTCCTTCCTTCACCACCTTGCTTCTCTTTGACCTCTTCTTGCACCTCTCACATCCCTGCTTCCAACTCTTGCTTCCTTCACGCCATTCGTTTCTCTCTCCGCTTTAACACCTTATTGCTCCCTTCGCTCTGACCTTTCATCCTAACTGCCTTACTCCTTCTCTTCCCTTGCCATTCCTTCTTTCCCTTCTTCCCTCGGTCCCCTTCCTTATCTTTCATTCCCATTTGCTCTCTTCTATTCAAATATTCCCTCCTTGCTCCTCAGCCGTTCATTCTACCCTCCATTGTCCTTTTCATTCTTTTCTCCACACTCTCATATTCCTCTTTGACCAAGCTCTTCTTCCTCTACATCCTTTTCTTTGTCTTGTGAGGCCCATAAGTATTTTTTTTTTATTTCTAATTTCTTGATGTCTCATATATAGACACCATTTTGGTTGTACCGTTTTTTTTTTTCTTATTGTTTTTTTTCTTATTGTCATCTTCATTGTTCTCCCAAAATGTCTCCTTTTTCTCTACTCTTTTATTTTCTATGATTTTCTTTTTTTTTTCGTTTTGTTTGTGTGTTTTCTTTTCTTTCCTCTTCTCATTAACTTGCCCATGCATGCAGCAGCCTGATTGTAGGGACCAATCAGATCCAGACGAGAAAGATGAAACTAACGAGAGCAGCCAAACTGTCAGCAACCAGACAGAAAATCAGGAAGCCAGCCAGACGGAACAGGAGGAGAAGGAGATGGATCATCCCACGGTAAGCTCAATCATGAACAACACCACTGAACCAAACTCCTACTGGAGGCCCTGTGCGTTCGCCTTAGCGCTTCTCTCGGCTGAAAGCCAACAGCATTCATTACCCAGCTGCAACCGGAGCCTTTTATTGCCAAGATATCTCCTAAGAAAAATAACTTTTGCTGCTCTTATACCACCTTTAACTAAACAAAGAGACAGCCAATGTATAAATAATATAAACCTCTTTTACATCATGGGATACGCAGATATTTGGCACACAGATAGGCATTCTAAATTGTGCTTGATTTGGCAAAGATTTATATTTCCATTTTTATGAGGCAGTAATGGGTTGGTCATGTTGTATTTGTTTCTCTATTTCTTTGCTCAGAGATTAAAATTGTTTTTTTCTGAACTGAAGGTTGTGAATTTGATTCTATGTCATGAATAGAAACAGTACGTTCTGGATTTATATCTTTGTTTGTCATTTTTTTTCACTTTGTTAGCAGCAGAAAGCCTTTTTTTAACAGATGTCAAAGTTACTTTTACTGTCTGCTAGCAGTGAGCTGGTGCTCTCTGGTAGGAGGATGGAGGAAATAGATCGAGTCCAGGGGAAGGTTAAAAAAGGACATTAATGGTACAGTGGTTTGTCGATAGGTTGCACTAAGTCAGCAGCTTATGAGCCGTGGGAGGGTGCATTAGTTTAGCTGTAGGTGAAGAAGACCTATGGCAGAGCATGGATTTAAAGTATTTTATGTTCCTTTACCAAAAAGGTCAGTTTTTGTATTATTTTCCTGCAAATCATCTCCTCCATCATTCCATCTTTAGTTGTTTCCACATGTTTACTCATTTGGTTCCTTTGGGTTTTAGTAGCTTTTTCTCATTTCCTTTTCTCTCCAGTCTGCACAGGTCTCTGACCTCGGGGAGCAGATGTCCCTAGAAAAGGAGTCAGCTGGAGAAGCTCAGGAGGAGCTGCGCAAAGAGAGACACAACCACAGAGAAGTCAGTCTCAGACTTTCACAGGTAGGTTTCAAAAAGGAATATAACAAATAAAATGCTGTCAGTTTACTTTAAAGTATTGACATACTCATTTTAAAACATGATCTCGATTTCACTGGGTTTCGTTTGATGTTTTTTTGTTTTTTTTTAATCAGTGAGTTTACATTTCCAAGTTTCACCTCAGAAACAGTTTAACAGTTTTCAAAGCAGAACCAAATTTGGCTCCTGTGCTGTTTTTGGTTCATCTCTGTAGATACAGTGTTTGGCAAAATTGTTGGACATTGCACATTTTTACAACTACAATATTTAATGTATTTTACATGATTTTATGTTAAAGAATAAAGTGCAAAATTGAAGGAAATTATACGTTTTTTTATTTAAAGTTATAATTTAGACCATGTCTCTTCCAGTTTCGCTTATCTAAGGACTCAACATTTAGCCTATTTTTCTTTGCTAATTCTAAACACTCAGTGTGATTAGACAGAGAGACACTAATGCACATAAAAAGTAAGTTTGTTATAAGAAAAAATGTAGAATAGTTAAAAATATATTAATCATTTTTTGAAGATTATGTTAATCAACCAATTTAAAACATCAAACTTAACATGAAAGGTAATGTAGTGGCGATTGTTTGTCAAACCAAACATCATATAAAGTTCAAATAAGCCACTATTTAGGCACTGGGGTCACGTTTTCTTGACGTAGGCAAAAGAAGTTGAAGAATAGGATTTATTTCCTATATTTTGCACATTACAGAGTTCAAACATTCCCTTGCACTGACACCTCTCTTGCACTGGTAAAAACCCATAGGCCCCTAACCCAAATGCCTGCTGGTCCTTTACCAGGCCCCTACATTTATAGAAAATGGACCGTCCACATTTCTTCCTGTTAAAACAAATAAAAACAAAAAAATCAACAATTAACCTATGAATAAAGTCTGTAAATAATACAAAAAAATTTTAGTTTAGGAATTGACACAATTGAAATGGATAAAGAAATAAAAAATAAATAGCTCCAACAAGTAAAATAAAGCACTTTTCAGCCTTGAACCTCCTCTGACTGTTTATGCCCCCCCCCCTCTCTCAGCTCCAGGAGGAGCACCAGAAGGCTCTGCTCCGACGGGACTTCCAGCTTCAGAGCCTGGGCCTCCAGGCTCGGCTTCAGCAGAAGCTGTGGAGTCAGGAGAGGAATCTGCTGGTTCAGGAGTCCCAGCACCTGAAACAGGCCCTGCTGCTGCTCAGCCTGAAACTCCGCTGCTTCCTCAAACAGTGGAGGCTGGGCTGCCAGAAGGATGCAGAGGGGAAAGATGTTTTGGAGGTGAAAAAAAAAAATTATAAAAACCGTTTCAGTTAGTACATGTCACATTTCTCTATTCTTAATTGTTCTCACTCTATGATTCAGGGATGATTGCTTTATTTTTTTTTAGAAACAGAGAAAAATTGTAATAACACATCAGAATAAGAATTTAATGTTTGATTTCTGTAAATTAATTTTGGAAGAACATGTAGTATGTAATTAATTATATTTGGTTGGAGATTGAGATTAATAGTAAACAGCTATTGCTGCACATTGACTCTTTAGATGAACAGTCTGAAGGAGTTGTATCTGCTGCTGGAGGAGGAGAGCCTGCCAAACCCCACGAACGCAGCAGATAAGAGAGCCTCTGCAGACGAGCAGCCGCTCAGCCCCACAATAAAGGCAAGCAGAGCTGCATGCACACAGACACAGCTGCTTGGATGAACAGAAATCATTTTTAGACATCTTATGGAAGCAGTTTTTGAAATCCTGTCCAGTAACTGCTGCACCTGCACTCTTACATAAACACTTACCAGAGATGTCTGTGTTGCAGTCGAGTGCAGTGAGCAACACTTTGGCAGACCTAAAGGTTGCTCTGCAGGACCTGAGTGGAGAGTTGAGACAAGAGAGACAAGGCTCCCAGGAACTCACTCAGCAGTTTGCAAAGGCCAAAGCGTCGTGGGAGGTGGAGAGGACCGAACTAAAGAGCCTCATCACGCAGGTAAAAAAAGCTGCTGCAGAAAACCGAACACTTCACTACATTTAATAACATCCTGCAGCACAATGTTGTAGCAACAAAAAAAGATGGAGAGTAACATTTTTTAACATGTTTAAATTGCTCATGTTCAAGAGGGCTTCACAAACCACATTTTAAGTTTGCCGCATAACTAATTAACCTTTGAAACATGTATGAGTATGTACAACCCCTACCAAACAGTTAGGCTAGAACATTTTTGAAATATTTAGAACAGATTTTTTTTATTGTTTTTTTTATTTCAGGTAAAACTGAAATGTAGAGTAAGTAAAGAAACAAAAGAGAAACAACTTTCCTATTGAAAGTACTTTAACCAGTTTTACCAAATCCCCAAAATAAACCATAGAATTAAATATTATGAGATTTCCCATTGAGCTCTGGGATTCACTTCTAGGGTTTCCATCTGTCAGGTGGATCATTTGTCTATAAAACCTTTAATACTTTCAGTTTTCCCAGCCCCTGTAAAGGCTTTTGTTTCCTCCCCCTCTTTATTGTCTTTGTCTCTCCTTCAGTCTCATAACAGCAGCTGAAGCTGTAATAGTTTTAATTAACAGCTTCTAGGATAGAAAACACCCTGTGTGTAATAGAGCAGGAGAAGAATGGGAGATAAATTATAGCCCACAAGCCTGATCATTTTGGCCAATTAAGTCCGACCTAATTATATGAACCCATCACTTAGTTATATTTAAGGGATGTTTATTTTATATGGAATGACCCTTTGTGCAATTCTGCTTTTATTCATACGGTATTTTAAGCCAAAATGACACATGCAAGCATTAAAACCTGCATCATGCGTATCTAGCGTTACAAATGTCTTCACTTACATGTAAAATGCTTTCATTTACATCTGCTGGTTATTATAAAGCTGCTCGTATAGAAAGCCTATCATCACTTTGTAAATTCAAGATACTTCACTGGGAAAAAATAAGCTATCGATATCCATGAAGGCCCTACGGTTTTCCCACAGTAAAGGATTTTGCTCTGCATTATCCTGGTCCCTTAGCACACAAACCCAATAATGCTCTCAGAGGTGCACACTAACGCCGACCGCCATCATCAATCACAGCCGCCATCCAAACCATTCAGTCCGCATACGTTGGTACGACATCATTTGTCTTCTGATCTGATATGAAGAGACGCATCTAGTATTAATGATTTAATACAGATCATGATGTGTAAAGGTGTTAACTGCTTAAATACGTTTACATTTGAACAAAAGAAAGAAGTTCAGAAATCCTAGATAGATTTTAAAGCGTGACTTTTTAGAAAATCAAAAGTAATCTGTAAAGATGAGAGAGATTACAAATAGTTTAGCAGAGAGGTGCAGACTTGAACAGCCATTTTAACGGGCCTGTGTGTGTGGGTGTTACTCTGACCTACATGCCACATTTGGAAGTAATCTCGTCTGTGCCAACAATACAAACTGTAAAGTATGCCATCAATTTGCCACGCTAAAGTATGTGGGTATGGGGGGGGGTATAGCGGCACAACAATAGACCGACCGCATCAGTGCCAAGGCTCCCTGGCAACCCACAGCGGGTCCTCCAGCTGTTGCTTCACTGAACAAGTCAACTCAATTCCAAACACTGTCCTTCCTGTCAAACTATCTGACAGGAAATTATCTTCACTGTCCATCTTGACAAACACATTTAGTCAGAGAAAGTACAAATGATCTCAGCAGCCCTGAATGCAAGCAGGACAAACGCATCTTTATTTTACTTTCATCCGCATGTGATGATGCATTGGATTGTTTATTACTGGTTAATCAGTCATCCTTCCGCATTGTTACAGACACCTGCCACCTCTGTGACGACAAGCTGAGCAGCTGGGAGCTCTTACTGCTCATTCATCACATCTGTTGCTTTAACTTCAGTCATGAAGGAGGGGGGGGGACATCTGTTTTATTAATTGGAAAATCATATGCAGGTTCAACATGGGCTGTTTGTTTGATGTGTGATATAAAACATGCAGCGTTGAGTTTTGACCGATACTGACCCCACTTTTAATAGCTTTTGGTGATGTTGAATGTTAGAAAAGGCTTGATCATTACCTTAACAGGGAATCATAGTCAACAACAAAAAGTATGCCAATGAACTTTACATGTAACTTAGGTTACATGAGCTTAGATATTTATAACTGAATAAAAATGGGGCTGCTCAGTTGGCAGTGGGTAGCACTTCTTCCTTCCAGCAAGAAGGTTCCAGGTTCGACTCTTTCTGCATGGAGTTTGCATGCACTGGTTCCTCCCACAGTCCAAAAACATGAATGTTAGATTAATTGGCTTCTCTAAATTCTGTGCGTGTATAAATTCTGAGTTTGTGCGTGAGTGTTTGTCTCTGTGTTGCTCTGCGATAGACTGGCGACCTGTCCAGGATGTACCCCGCCTGTAGACAGGGTTCCCACGGGTCCTTAAAAAGTCTTAAAAGGCATTGAATTCTTCAAAATAAAACTAAGGCCTTAAATGGTATTAAAATTTCTTAAATCAGTCTTTCTAAATAAAACGTTAAAATTGACATTTTTGGGGGATTTTTTATTTAAAAAAAATAAATAATGGCTCGCCATTATTAGTTCCGTCCTGATAGCGGAACCAATAAGAGCGTTGTTGCGGCCGGGACATTTGGGAGATGCACCATAAAATTTCTGAGTGGGAAATATGAGCAAGTTTACATGTAACGAAAATTGGCTATTCAGCCAAGAGTTTTCTCCATGGCTAAAACCAGGGAACATACATGAGGCTCAGTGTATTTTGTGCAAGAAGGCACTCAAGCAAAATAGCTGCAAAAAAGACTTAGCACTGGTAATGTTGTGGCTTTAAAACCGATTTGTTTTGTTACCTGCTAAAACAAGGTTTGTGAATTCAGTTAAATAATTGTTAAAATATATCTGTCATTTGTGTGTTTTTAGCTTTCTTCCTGTATGGGAAGCTTTTCAAAATTTGAAACATTAGTGCAGTGGCTTATGTTATAATAAACCTTTGGGTTAAGTTGTCGCAAGCAGGTTTTTCTTGTGTTTCTTGTGAATTTGGTCTTAAAGTTTTATTTCAAGTGGCATTAAAAAGTCTTAAAAAGTCTTGAATTTAACTTGCCTTATGCTGTAGAAACCCTGGAGATAGGCACCAGCACCCTACGCAACCCCAGCTGGGATAAAGCGTGATGTAAAATGGATGGATGTGTGAATAAAAATTATGAATTTGAAGAAACTTATGCAGGATAAGGTTTGCGCTTAGCTGCTGTTGTTAGCTCTGTAGGGGGATATAAGCGCTGTGGGATAGAAATGCTGAAGCAGACTGAATTGGGGTGCTGCAGAAATGTTCTCCCAGCCTGTTTCTTCTGGAGATTTTAAATTAGAGATTAACCAACACAGGTTGTTTAAGCCCCGTGTAGATTCCGTTTGTTTTGACACCAATTTAACCGATACTCGATATGTGCAGCTTATACTGCAACTACTGCAACCATGGTTACCTACAAGGAAACACACAACATATTCTCATTATGAGTGCGTATGAAATCGTACGAAAAGTTATTCACACTATTTTGTACGTTTTTGGACGTTTTTCCTCAAAAAACCACATCAGTGCGCATGCGCTGGCAGACAGGAAAAAAAAGCAGATCCGCGGACGGACGAAAAATGGGAAAAACAGTGCAATCATCACTTATTCATGTCTCGAACTACGTTGCTTGCTGTTTTATATCTTAGGGTTAGGGTCAGGGTTAGGGCTAATTGTAATTTATATTCTATATTTGTGAATGGTGCGTCAGATGCGCATACGACGAAAAAAACGTCCAAAACGTACCAAATTACGGTGCATAACTTTTCGTACTATTTCACACGCGCTCATAATGACAATAGGTTTAAACACATGCAGTCATCATTAAATTTCACAAAAAATGCGTTAACAGGGACGTTTATAGCAGGTAAGTAGATTGAAGCTCAGTCAGCTACATATTGGATTATTAAGAACTTGAAAGAGAGAGGTTGAATATCAGGGCACCCCAAGAAAGTCCGGAAAGTCCGGAAAGCCCCAGAAACAAAGAACCTAAACATTCAGACTAACTCCAAGCATTGATTATAGAACATATAGACATATAGAACAGACTGCCATCACTCAAGGATTTGGTCCAAAAGTGGATTTACAGCATGCCAGCACTGATGGCAGAGGTCTTGAAAAAGAAGCATCAACACTGTAAATATTGACCTTTAGCGTGAATTCAGAGTAAATCTCAATAAAAGCATTGGATACTCCATAAATGCTTTTTATAATTTTTTTAGTAAACCATAGAAACATCTGATAGAAACACCCTGAAGCAGCTTCTAAGTGAGGAATGTCTAAAGCAGAATACCGCCAATATTATTCTAATCTGTTTTACCTTCATATATGCAGATATTTAAATTCATGAGATCGTGAGATGAACCTAAACATCTCTGATCCAACAGTAAATACGCTCCATCTAGTGAAATAGCCTCCCTCTCACCACTGCTGCAGTAAACCACTTTGAGTTGTGAGGCTCGTTAGGGAGGGTTCGTCATTAATGAGAAATACAGTGTGGCCATAAGAGGCAGGAGTTTGGTTCAGGCTATGTTTCGCTGTGATTGGCTGCCTGACAGTTTCATTAGTACCACATATAGACGCCAGACACAGACACACGGAGAGGATTGATGGGTCTGGGAGGTCTGGCTGTATGCATGTGGGCGTTTGCGTTTTTTCGCGTTTGTCATGCCGACGTGCCGGTACTGTCAGCCGTGTGCATGGAGGGAGACAGACACTGGGGAGAAAATGTAAAACGACTCATCAATATTTGAAGGGATTCCACCTACAGGATCTAGAATGGAGGGTGAAAAAAGGGATGATGGGGCTAAAAATGGAGGGTGAGAAACCGGCTGGGACAATTCAGAGTGGAACAGGGTTAAAAAGGCACATTATTGAGGAAGAAACGGAGGAGACATGTTAATATTCTGAGACTTCTTCCTTATGAATGAATCCCAGACAGTCATGAACGCGCTCTAATTTTTAGCAAGGCGTGTTTTACACAATATTTACCCAAATCAGGCACAAACGTTGGTATAGATAGTTACTGATTGCTAAAACTGCTCTTAGGATAATAAAAATATGTTTTTATTATCCTAAAGAGGCTTTTTATTAGTTTTTTTTTGTTCCTGCAAAGACATTGACCTTTTATTGGGGATGATTATGTTTGATAACAAAACACAACTCTTCCTGGAGAACATTGTGAGTCATGATTCATTTTTCATTTTATTGCAATTTGTACAAATACTTTTGCATATAAAGATATAAACAAAAAAATAACTATTATAAGAGGAAATATAGTAAGAATATAAAGCATTTGAGCATCAAGCTCAGTTCAAATGTGGAATCTCTGAAAATATTTCTGATATTTTTCTTCTAACTGGTATAGTCTTCCATGTGACCCTATTTTTCTTGTGGATTTCTTCCAGGTTTTCTTTATTTTGAATTCAGATTCTAAAATCATCCAATGTGCTGCACGAGAGATTTTAGGCAACGCATCCAACATAAATCACTTTCAGCACTAAATGAATCACACTGGTGGAACTTAAGAAGCCATTTCTAATTGTAAAGAGCTTCATTTCAAAGTTTATTGTCAGCATTTGAACGCTAACCAAACATGCAAACCATTATTGATACAGCTATGAGCTTCTATGGCAATCCTTTCAACAATATAAAAATAAAAAGTAGATTTGAAGAGAAATTTTGCTCTGTTGAACTTCTGATGCCAAACCTGTAGCTTTGCTGCTAAGATGGATGGGAAGGAATGAAGACCTACAGTATGTGGCTACCACAGTCCAACTCCTCCTTCCTTAATATTGTCACTGCTTTTTAAACTTAACATTAAATCCACACATTAAATTTGATTCATTTAAAATATAATTCTAATTTTACAAGCTTTATTATACTGTAGTACATCATTACCCTGCCATACTAATGAGGCACTCTCTCATGAACTACCTGTATATACTGGGTTTGATACTGTGTTTTGCATTTTTTTTATTTTATTTTATTTTTTATAGATTTTTTACAGGTATACAACAAAAACATGACAATGATTAATGTCCTTTAGTGAATCCTTTAGCATTTGTCACAAAAACAAAAAAAAAGCATTAGACAAACAATAAATAATATTATATAAAAATAATTTGTTAATTTACACTTTGGACATACTGAAAGTAAAAAAAAACAAAAAAAAAAACACTTTATGGCGTTTCAACCAGTCAATTAGGAGTGTCCACACCTTTATTCATAACAAATGGAGTAAAGTAGAACAAAAAAAGAGGGGGAGATAGGGGTTCTTTATGGCTTCAGTTGTTCTAAAATGGGTTTCCAAATTTTGTAATATTTTTGAGGACAGTTTATTACATCAAATCTAATTTTTTCTATGTGCAAGATTCCTGGTGTTTTGCATTTTATCAACTTTTTGTAATGCATTTGATGTTTAGTTAGGCTTAGAATAAAACGTCAAATAAAAGTTCATTTTATCCAGATTGAACATCATTATCTTATATTTTGGTTTAAGACACAGAGCTGGTAGAGTTATGCTAAAATCTTCCCGTTATTAGGCGTTAGCCAACGTTTTACCCTGTTTTTGAATCTCTAATCAAAAGCACATTCCTTCTTAAATAACTGTGGCTGAATTGACTTGTTTTTACTTTCCAGTTTGAGACTAAAATGGGCAAAACAACAGCAGCCATGACGGCAGCTGAAACCCTGGACCCTCTGGACCTGAAGGCGGCTCTTAAAAAGGAACGTGAGGAACACCAGCACCTCCTCGCCGAGTCGTACGCAGCCGTGATGGACTTAACCAAACAGGTAAACTGACGTCCAAGCTTGAGTTGAGATAAATACCCACAACTTTATCGACGCTGCAAACTATGAAGACATAATGAAAGCAGTTGTTAGGTCTGCAGACACATGTTTAATCTGTGGCAGCATCATGCTGTATTTTATATTGGAGTCAATCTAAGTTGCTGCATCTGTTTCTGGGGTTTTTTAATCTGATTTCTTCTGCTTTTGCCCGTCCTTCAACTGGTTCAGCTTCAGATCGGAGAAAGGAACTGGAGCAGAGAGAAGCTGCAGCTGCTGGAGAGGTTCAGCCAGGAGAGAGCTCAGTGGGAACAGAGACTGAGAGAGGCTAGCATGCAGCAGGAGAAGGTAAAACGGCGGGCGTTTCTATGTCCATGTAAGGGGGAGAAATGTCTAAGACTATTCTAGACAATCTGGGGCAGATAGAGTCTGACACTCAGAGATATTGTAGATACAACAATTGTGTTGTTATTTTCCCTTATGTCGGGGTTTTAGAGCAAAGTAAAACCCAAGTCCATAAGATTTTACAGATGTAGAAGTCACATTTCTTTCTGTTTCTGTGGACAGAGGCAGTAACTACCCACGGCTGCCTGGGCTTTAAAAGCTAGAGAAACAAAGTCACTCATATCTGTTGATTAAAGCTCTGTTGGTAAAACGCTGAGCTGCTGGAACATGTCAGGGGGGCTGACAACATGCTGCCACCTTATGTAGGTTGCAAGGTTAAAGGGATTTTCTACATACCTTAAACCCCAGTGGTGCATTTAAGGCCTTTCTGTCATCTTTGAGGATCTCAGTCCGCAGAGAACTCCCCCCTCCTCCCCTCCCCTTGTTTCCTGTCGTCTCATTCGCTTTTTCCACTTCCCCATCTGCCTCGTCTTCCTTCCTCCTCTGGGCTGTGTGATATCAAATGATGGCATTTAACACATCATTTAAAAAGTACAGCTTTTAGCTTTTGTCTGAGTCCCGCATGAAAGCAGCATAATGGAAATCAACTCTATCTCATGTGGAATATGAAGCTTTTTTAAGGTTACTTGGAGCGCCCCCTGCAGGCAGCTTAGTGTATCTCTAGCTGAATCACTTAAACAGAGGTAGAGATTTCAATCACAACAGGTGAAACACATTTGTTTATTAAATGTGCACATTTAAAAACAGACATATAATTACCCACTTTGGATTCTTAGTTTACTTTTTCCTTCAGACAGTTCGGACGGAGTTGCTGAGGGTTGCAGGTGAGAGTGAAACTGTCAGCTCAGCACCTGCAGATGTCCCTTTCTTCTCTTCCTCTCCTCCTCATCTGTTATATGAGTGTTGAGAGAAAATTGCTTCACAGCTTAAGATCTCCCCTCTGCTGTAAAATCCACCGACTCAGCATCACAATCTATGTGTGTTTCACCTCAGTCTCCCACAGACTCTCCAGAGGAGGTGGCTGGAAGACCTAAACACAACGTTTTAGGATCTATGGTGTGCAGACATGTCAGGAAGATCATTTTAATGTTATTTGTCTTTTTTTCCCCCCCTCACAGACGAAGCCTCCAGGCGAAGAAGTCACAGTGGACACAGCTGTTGTTAATGGATCAGCATCACCGAGGTGACACTGCAAAAATAATTGTTGCTTTAACTCAAACTTATGGAAGCTTTCTATTTGATCATCTGGTGCATTTATTATTCAATTATTCCATATGCTCCGGATCCTGTAAATAAAATCCAATGCAAAGAATAAAAGGGCTGCATGACTCTGCAGCTCAGGTGAGAGAATCTGTGAAAAGGAAAACTGTGTAGTCCTCTTGTAAAAGTGACTGAAAGAAGCCCATAATTGACCTGTAGAGGATATAAAATATGATGATTATGTGAAAAGGGCTGTTTGTGGTAGAGAAAACATCAGTGCAGATCATACCATCAAATATTGAGATGGGAGCATCATGCCGGGGATGATTTTATTCTACAGGGACAGACAAACTGGTGATTAGGTCTGAAGTTAACATTTTAGCAGGTTAAAGCCATGATCCAAAGATATTTATGTGCTAGAATGGAACAATCAAAACCCACAGCTGATTCCAGTTCAGAGATAGAGGAAAAAAATTCAAAACTGATGTTTATAGATGTTCCCTACCTAATGAGGAATGGACTGAATATCTCAGCATGTTGCTGATAAATGCATCGACTTACAGACTGAGTTTTCATATCACACAATTTGGTTCTATAAAGTTTTAAACAAAGGAGCCCTGGTTAGTCCTGCATAGCACACTTTTCAGATGTTCCCTCTTTTTTTTAAGTAGAAACAAAAAAATATATAGATTTTTTTTCATTTTAAAAATGTGGATCATTCTGTGCTGGTTTTTACTGTTTATTCCAATTAAAATGCCCTGAAGTATGTGGTATTGTCACAAAATGCTGAGAGGAATACTGTTGCACTATATTCTACAGGGTGAAATCAACAGTGGAGGATTCAGAGGTTAATAAATCCACCTGTGAGAAGGACAAAGCGCTGTTTGGTTCATTGCCTCTTTTTACTCGAGCCGAGTTAGGTGACATAAGTGTGAAGAACTGGACCAGCTTAACCAATGAGGTTGGTAACGGGTTTTTATGTATTAACTGGTTTCAGAAGGTTCACCTTGTCTTTTTTTTGTCTCTCTGCTTTTAACTCATAAAAAACATTTATTTATTAAACTGATGCTTCTGTCTCCCGTTTCCAGACCCCAGAGGTTCCTGATACTTGTAAAACCTGGGACGGTCCCAGCGGCTCCTCCAGCAGCTTCACAGCCTCCGACATGGATCTGGATTTTGTGCGGAGGAGCTGCACCGCTCCGGACCGGACCGGCATCCGTATCTACTACAGCCCTCCTGCTGTGCGGCGAATTGAGCACCGGAGGAGACACCAGGAGTCTTTAGATGCGGATCACTCAGGCATTGGGAGCTCCTCTCTGAAACACAATGACACGGATGACGGCGTAGCTTCACTCAGTGCTCTTGATGCTCAGCAGCAACAGCCTGCCGTGTGTTTTACATCTTCTTACGAGCAGTGGCTCAGTTCGCTGTCCAAACAGCACCGGGAGCTGCTGGAGAGCAGGAGCAGCAGCATTTCCACCTCCATGCCGAGTGTGTTCAGCAGCAGTGTCAGCAGTGGGGCGGTTAACAGAGCGGTCGATGGGAGGACGTCCTCTTCTCCCTTCCAGGACCTGGAGATCGGAGACATTGCCGCCAACTTAAGCGATGACATGAAGGAAATGACTAACTGTGTCCGCCAAGCTATTCGCTCTTCTTCTCTGGAGAGGAAATCCAGCAAGGAGCCTGTTAGTCAGGTATCGCCTTGGAATGTTTTTAACATATTTTAGTCCTGTTTTCATTAAATGTTAAATGATTTTGCAAACTCAGCCATGCTGGAGAGAGATGAATTATCCCTTCTTTTATCCAGCCTGTTGGAGTATGCAGCAAGTCTACCCAGACTGTCGCCCAGAGCATCAGCATCGGGCTGCAGACAGAGAGCCTGGCCAGCAGCAGGGGGGCCGGGCTGCACACCAAAGCCTGGTCCCCTCGTCCGTCATCAACAACAACCTCCTCACTGGCGTCGGTCCGAACTCGGCAGATCTCAACATCACTGGATAAGGTGCACAGCCGTATCGAGAGGCCTTGCTGCTCCCCTAAATATGGATCACCTAAACTCCAACGAAGAGGATCTTCTGGTAGAACTTCTAATCAGTTCTTATTGCTTAATTTAAACCCAGTTTGTTGTTTAAAAGAAGAAATAACAGCTTCTGTTTTTACAGGTTCCACTTCCAGACTGGACGGGGCTTCCTCCAGCAGGGACCGCAGCATGTGGAGCCTACATCAGAGGCCCATCGGTGGGGGCGGCGGCTCTGCTTGGGCTCGCTCCACCACCACGAGGGACAGCCCCGTCCTTAACGGCCTTACCGACGGCCTCTCCAGCCTTTTTAGCGTGGTGGAGCACTCTGGAAGCACAGAGTCGCTCTGGAGGAGTGAAATAGGTGAGATGCAGCTGGTGGAAAAACCAATGTTGTCTTTTTATGATTTAAGTCTAACTTTATCATTTTTTAAAATTAAATCTGGTGAATGATAATAAACAGAAAAAGTTACTGTGGCAAAAAGTCCCAAATTCTACCTGCAAACTGCAGCAAAGTAACTAGCTCCCATCAGTAACGATCCAAACCTGTGATCACTGCACTGCTTTAGGACCAAGCCAGACCGCCAGTCCCGCTCGGCAGCCTCCCGCCGCAGGAAAACCCTCCGGCGCTGTGGTTTGTGGACCTGACTCCAGCTCTCAGCGCTATGGAGGGTTGGTGCAGGAGTTCTTCAGGAACGTCTGCAGCAGGCCCAGCCCAGGCGGGGTCCACCTCCCTGCGGAGAGACTCCAAAGGGACTCGCTCGCCGTCCTGGGAGGAGTGGGCATCATGGGGAGTTTGAACAGCTTGGATGAACCCACGGTCGGAGGGGCTGCTGCGTTGGCTGGATTGAGTGGAGGCAGCGACAGCGTGACCAGGATTGTTAACAAGAGGTTTATGAGGCAGACGACTGGTGAGGAGATGATCAGCATCCTGGGAGGAGGAAAGGAAGCAGCCAGCAACAGCATGGCTGCAGCACCAGGAGTAGAGGTGACGAATTTCTATTAAGATCAGAGGAATTACTTTTGGTTATAGTTAAAAGGTAGTTAAAGCTGTTTGGGTGAGGTTTTCAAACCACAAACAACTAAATCTGGCGTGCATGCGTCTTGAATCACAAAAACTACTGCAATTAAAATGCGACAAAACGTAGTAAAGTTGTAAAGATATGAATATTAATAAGGACAAGAAATGACATGGTTTTATTTCCCAGGATGCACCCTGTGATTGTGCTGCTCCGTCCTCCTGCATCGTCCGATCATCCAGAGCAGCCTCTCGCCACTGCAAGCACCGGCTGCAGGAGTCTCCAGCCGGAGCAGAGGAGAAGGGAGACGCCTGCAACGAGTGATGAAAACACGCAGCACATATGGAGGAAATTCGCTTCTTCACCAACACTACTGCCATGGAAACGCTTTCCCTCACCTTCCAGAGCACCGAACGCACACAAAACCCCTAGAACCTGCCACACAGGGCCCACTGCCAAACCCTAACACAGCGACAGCACAGACTGCCTCATTGAGCTACTGCCATCTTAACAAAACCATGAGCAGAACCCAGGCAACAGCGCTCCGTTTTCTAGAAGAGCAACCGATGCCAAGGACACACCCAGCACCCCAAACCTACCAGCAGGACTGAAACCACATATATCCTCTCTCTCTTCTAACAACAATCAGCAGCTTACAGTAAATAATGATGTCAATCTGCAAAACACAACCTCCGTATCTCAGATTAAAGGGTACTTCGATCAGTCTGCTACATTTCACATCATACATTCACCCTGACATGATTTAATACTCCTGATCTGATGTTTAGGTGTAACTTTGGGGAATATGAGCAAAGACGGACAGACTAGAGCTGAAAAATTTGATATTTTTCATTGAATTATCCAGTCAAGATCATTTCACAGCGAATGGATTTGTTCCTCAAATTGGTTTGTTTAACACAATTAACCTCACAAATCTAAAAGAAATGCCAGATATTAACGAGACACTGCAGAGTTCTGTGCAATGTGTCTTCATAGGGTGTGATATGCTAAAATATTTTGATTTAATCAGTCAAATGAAGGATGTTGGAGCCTAATGACTCCAAAAATTATCTGAAAGACAACTTCTTTGTGGATGACACTGGAGAGTAAATCTATCTGAAGGCTTGTTTGTCTGGAGCAGTAAGCCCTCATTCTAACTAACCAGGGGAGACAAATCAGGCAAGACGGATGAAATTAAAGCCATGACTTTGACCTTCGATAGCAAGCACTGGGAACCGTTCCTCTCTATGTTAAGTTAGACTGGGATCCCTTTTGTTAAGCTAATGGGACGTTTCTTTTTGTAATATTTATTTATAATGTTGGGATTTGTTTTTTCCGGGCCTAGCCGAAACAGTTTTGTTGGAAGCACAACTAAGACATGAGATGCATTCCATTTGTTACCAATAAAAGTAAAACATCCTTTAGGACCAGAAGCACCCAGCTGGAAAAAACACTGCTTTGCAAAAGTATTCATAACCGATGAACCACTTGAATACGCTTCAATCTAAATCTATCCAGTGTAGCTCTGTCTGCATGTTCTCCCTTTGCAAGGTGAGCTTCTGTCTCAAGTGCGTTGCATTATCTAACAGGTTTTCTTCCAGGTTTTACCGTAATTTAAAAAAAAAACTCCTCAGCATACTGCTGCCACCACCATGTCTGGAAGGGAATTATGCTTATTTATTCACTAATGTTCTCTAACAAACCCCTGAGACATCACAGTCCAGCTATAAGTTTGGACTTTATATAATTAGATTCCAATCAGAAGTTTTCTGACAGCATTTGACGGCTGGGTTTGATTACTTTTAGATTAAAAGTGGATAAATATGCACAGCAACCATGCCATACTTTTTAGTTTATACATTTATGATGTTTCATCCACTTCTGAATTGCAGACTTTTTAATTTATATGCACTGAAGTTATGAATGAAGAAGTTCATTTAATATGAATGCTGTTCTAGAAGCTGAGCAGTGTGGTTTTCTTACCTAGGATATGCCCAATTAGGGTATATGTTCTGTTTTCAACTTTTTATTTTGTACATGCATTCAAAATAAAACTGAAGTCACTCAACATAAGTAGCAACTGGCCTTCTTATGACTAAACTCTGTTAAAACATCTTCAATTGGACTTAAAAAATAAGAAAACACAGCTGCCTTAAGCACCTTTAGACATATAAGAAATATAGCTTAGACATTTATTTTTCAAAATAAAAGTCATGACCTTATTTTATTCATTTATTTTATTTGTATTCAAACTGGAACTTTTAGAGGACTAAAAATAGATTTTACATACATCACATAATTGTCTATTTTGAAGGCTAAACGTTCTATAAACTGGACTATGGAGGCAGCTGTACATAAAGGGCAACATAAATCAAGAACAATACAACTATAACTGCCGACCGGATAGGACCTGAAATGTAATTGAGGAGAAATAGGAGAACAAAAAAATTAATTGTGGATTTTTTTACTCATCCTTTCTCTCCATTACTGTGTTGTTTCCCTGTCTTTTTTCTTCAATCAGCTGATCAAAGTGCCTGTTGGATTGTCTGGCTAATAAACTAAAACTGGACTTTTAGAAAACCCCAAACCAGGCAGTCTTCTTCTATTAAGCAAAATTGTTTTCTTCAAAATGTACTGTATTACAGTAGTGACAAAAAAGTTATCAAATGTTGGTAGACGTGGCTGCATCATATGTCATTCCTTTTTTTTCTCCACATGACCAATTATCCCTATTTATATTTCTACAAACCCAATTGTTTCCCTTTGTAATCACAGTTTGCCGATCTATCATTATGTCTCTGTTTATTCATCATGGTGCTACTTGATGTACAGTCGTTTGTGGGCTTGTTGTCCTTCAACGAAGAATCTACCCACCATGTGCTCACAGTTCAATGACTCAGCAGGTTTAAAAGTAGGGCATTACAGAAACAGTACATGTACTTAAATAACATGCTGAGGAAAACCCGCAGTCTGTGTGCTGCTGTCTGTTTTAGGCCTCATTTTGGGTAGAAAAGAGACAGCGTTATACCAGCTGCTCCTTCACGAGCTACTGACCTGAATATAACACCATTAGACTGTCTGATTTTTGGCCACAATTATGGGGCTTTATTTGACATATTTAAGCGGTTTACTGGTTAGGTCATTTTTCAGGGTTTTTCCCAAAGAAAGTTCATTCAATGTTCCTTTTCATATTTCAATTGCAAACCTTTACCAAATGGTTTGTATTACACAAGACTTATAATGTTAAGCTAAATTATAAATCATATGATCTATTTATATTCAAAGAAAGTAAATAATAGATGAATCTTAGGTGTTTCTAAGTTCAATTAAGGATCTCAAAATAGATGGTTTAGCTTTCACCTTTACATCTTCACATGTTCATTTAGCAAAGTCAATATTATCACCAATCCTACTTTCAATTTAGCAGTTCATTTTAAAAGTACGTTCATTAAAATATATTTGAAAATATTACATTCAAAAATCTGCGAGCTGTTTCTTCTTTACAGATTTTGATTAAAGTCTAACATTTTTCTGGCACCAAAAATAAACTCAAAGGGCTTTCTGTAATTAACGATTTAGTTTTAATGCAAATTTACCCTAATTTGTTCATTTTAGCCACATTTACTTCTGTTAAAGGGTTTCTAAAAATTATCATTTATGATTTGGCTAACTGTTAGCATAATCCATTAGTTAGTAGCTTATAGCAAAACATTTATTTAGCGCTGTGTTAAGTTTTGTTTTCTCAGACCTTAATTAAAACATAGGTCAAAAATAATATAGACATTATTAAATATAAAAACATTATAAACCCTCATCTTTAGTAAACCGGCATTTTGTGGCCTTATTTTGAATTTTGACCCTATACAATACAGTTAGCATGTTAATGAGTTAGCCACAGCTAATGGGCTGTTAGACCTAAATGAGTAGGTTTCACATCCACAGTCATTAACAGTTCTGAAAAAAATATCTGCATGCTGTTAAAAGCCTGATAAGCTGTTGAAAATGCACAAAGCTTATAAATCTCAAGGTTTCATTCACCAGACTTCAAATAATCACACTATTTAGTATTATGTTTTTAATATATTTAAGGTTTCCAAACTAATCTTAAAATAAGAACTTGTCTTCTTCTTTCTTACTATTACTTTTGCTACGAAAACACAAAGCTTTTAAAACAGAACAAGATTTTGCTAAAAACAAATAAAGCCAGCTTGATACACAGGAAACCAACAAACAGTCCACTATGGCAGGGATTTAGTTTTTTTTTTGGTTTGTTGATGTTTCATTCTAAATATAAAGTGATTTTAAGTTTTTTTTTTAAACTGTAATTTTTTTAATATTTATGATTCTCTGCATAAAAGTACAGGTTTTTGTTCTACCTCTTAGACTGTACAGTAAACAAGAAAACGAAATACATATTCAGAGACCAGAAATGTCTTTTACTGTAGTTTAACCTGTGCAGATTCTGCATAACCAGATATTGTTTTTTAATGCTATTCAGTCATTCTATCCACAAGAAGGTCAATTTAGTGCCTTGCTTCTACGAATGTGTCTTGTTTTACTTATTTAAACCTTTCACTTTATGTGCATGTATTTGACTCTAAAAAGGCACAACTCCTTGGTTCAAAAATCCAGACTAAATAATCTGTATTTTACCTTTCTTACGGTCTTAATGAGGGATTTTCTAGACTCAAACTGAAGTGCACACTTTGATATTAATATTTTGGGTGACCAGACTTAAAATTGGATGTTAATCTAAATTATGATACAATTTGGATGAATGTCTTTACACTGATTGATTTTATTTTTAGATGAAAAAAGTTGAATGATATTCATTGTTGGTGTCATTCTTTTACAGAATTAAGCAAAATTGCTTAACATGTAATTTTTTAATCAGTCACAAATGACAGTTTGGAATGGATAATAATTTTTTATTTTTTTGTTAAAACGCTGGAGGATGTGACTTGGTAGTGGTGGAAAACCCCTAATCTATCCCTAAATGACATTTATTCCCTAACTATCACATATTTTAAGTCACACGACGCCAGCCAACGGCTTCCCTTTAGGCTTTGGAGCATCAGCCATTACTCTTGTACCCAAACAGAAATATTTCCCTCTTTTTGTGATGCTTCCACACCATTAATTAGATCATTACATGCTGGGATTATGTAAATGAATTAGCTGTTTATAATGGTAGCTAAACTATTAACCAGAGACGGCCTGTACATTTGCTTTATTAACATACTGTTATGTCTTTTTTTTTTTTCAGTAACTGATTTAAGAGGAGAATGCAATGAAAGCTAATTTAAACAACTAGACCCTTCCCCCCCGTGTAAAAGAAAGAAATTGTCCTTTTGTTTCTTTGAGAAAAGCTGAATGTCAACAGCTGATCTTTACAAGATCGCTGTGGCAATATGTAGCGCTCTCTGATTTTAGATTGCACTTGAGCATTTTCTCTGTATATAGTTGCATTTTCAAGATATTTGAAAAAAAGAAACGATAGAAAACATTAATGGATGTAAGAAGAAGACGTCCAAAATGGATTTTTTTTTAAAGCAGCTGGGTATGTTTGTTTTTCCAGTCCATGGTAGCTTGTAAAATAAGATGAAACTGCCTCCTGTTTGTCATAGAAATCACAAATAAACGTGTCATGGATTTTGATGTTCTTTGCTGTCTACGCCTTTTTGCTCCCTCTCTGTTTGGCATTTGGTGGGACTGAACTTATTCTGGTTTGGGTCAGTGTGTTTTCCACGGTTTTTCTTCTCTTCGGTGCATTTTTGTGAAATTATATAACTTTTCACTGGATTGAAGAACTTTTGTCCTTCTATTCATTATTTTTGTATACTTTCATTTACTTAAATGCTTCCTGCTAATAAAAACAACCTAAAAATGATTTTAATAAAACTGTCAGAGCAAAGGGATTTAATGTTAGACAAAGATAATCCAGGTAAATAAAAATGTGGTTTTAAAATATGATTATTTATTAAGAGAGAAATAATTATTGAAAAATCTAATTGACCATCTTTAATCACCAATGTACCGATTAACCACATTTC